CAGAGAGAATGTATCAACCTATGATCATGTCATACGCCCCCAAGCTCTTGGTGACGTGTAAATCCCATTCGATAATTCTATCGTCATGGAACTCAGGAATCATAAAGGCACCTTTACACCTCATGCTGGTGTTTAATTCTCCTGCAGGGGTAGTCCACATGGTTTGGACGCCCCCAAGATCCTTCATCCGTAATTTCTTAGCATGAGTTTGAGCAATCAAAGTTCCGGATGCTCCTGTATCCAGTAAGCAACGGAGTGTAACGGGTTTTGGTTTCCCTTTTTCTCGTCTGTTAAATCTAACATAGACGATAGGTTTGAGGTCTCTTGTCTTGCGACGTTTACGAGGTGGTTGGCCACGGACGAGGTTAACAATGCTAAATAGATCATAAGAATCTAATTGAGCAGCTTCTAGGCAATCATCTAATTTGCCGTAGACTTCATCAGTTGCAAACAATTCTTGTTTACTAGTTGGTGAGATATCTTCTTCACTTTGGTATGAGAAATCGGAACATGGTTCCGTTGAATCATCATCCTGGCCTAATCCTCAGACGTAGATTTCTCCATCCGATTGATTGAAATTGAAGTCGGCAAGAGCCTTGTCGACTGCAGCCATTTTCTTGTCCATCATGTTGAGGGACCCGACAGAGGAGTTATCCTCGTCATCAAAGTCATCTGACTTGCGCTTGGCAACATGGTTGCATTCGCCTTTCTTCTTGCGATCGGCCTTAACGTCAGTGGTGAAAACTTTCTTCATAAGGACAGAAAGTTCCTTCTTGGTGTAAGACTTGGCATCGTCAGACTTACGTTTCCAAGTCTTGCTCTTGTTGTACGCTGGCTTGCTATCGTTGCCAGACGAAGACTTGGACTTGATTTTCTTGAGAGTCATGCAATCAGCAGTATCGTGAGTGCTGGACGCACGGTAGTCACACCACTTTCCTTCGTTCTTGGAGGAGTGGTTGTTGTTGCGGCTAGACTTTTACTTCTTGCTATTGCTCTTCTTTGAAGGAGCTTGCTTGGCATCGCTGCCCTTGTCAAAGTCTTCAGCAGATTCCATGCGCTCACAGAATCCAATGAGAGCCTGTATCTCGGCAGTGAAAGGATCAAAGTCGTGTTCGTCCATCTTGCGCATCCAGGAACGAGGAATGCCATGACAGATAATGTCAATGAACTCGTCCTAGTTCAACTGTTGATTGGCACCGAAAGGTGGCAAACGAGGGAGTTCATCGGTATTCATCCGAGTGAGGTTGTTGATGTAGGCACGAGTTGTCATCTCACTAGACTTACGCATCTTGCGACGCATGAAGCGTTTCTGTTTTTCGAGAGCCTTGTAAGGACAGGCTTGTTCGATAACCGCATTGATTCCAACAGTGATGTCAGCATCGCTCAGCGCGGGTTCTGCTGCACCGTCCCATGCAGCTTGAATACGAGCAGCGTATGCTGCTTCGGTTTCGGCGATTTGATCGCGTGGTGCTTCTCAATTCACAGCGATTTGTCGAAGGGCGTTGTGACGCACGGCACGATTGCCTGCACATCCAGCCTCGTAGGCACTCTTTGCAGAGCTGGAAGTCATCTCCTTGAGAAGACGATGTTTGTCGTCGGGACCAGCAAGGTTGAGTCCAACGAAAAGATTCTCCATATTCGTGGCCCACTTGATGGTCTCACGTGGAGTGTTGGCGCCATTGATGATGGCTACCTTGAAGGTGTACTTGGCACTGTTTGCGTCTGCAGGAATGGTGTGAAGTTTGTAGGTGGTTGCACGAGAGTCGTCGACCTCGTTGTCTTCGTCATTGTTGACGAGAGCAATAATGGGTTTGTCACGCAACTGTTTCTCGAAGTTGCTGAACGCATGCTTTCCTTGAGCAATCTTCATGGTGAAGGAATAGGTTGAGGGTAGCTGAAAGCTATTGTGTTTGTTAACAAAATGCACTACGCTAAAAGCTAGCGTAAAGATCTTTCGAGTGTTTTGAGTTTGAAAGAATGAAAGTTATGAGAGAGATTAGAAAGAAAACTAATCCATGAGAGAGATCGCTGTGAAGCTCACTGAAGTTGGTCTCCGGCGGGAGGCCTCGAAGTGTGATATCGTAGGTTATGGTAATAACTCTACGTACTCCACGGTCAATTTCCGGAATGCGTGGAAACTTCAGCTAGTTGCTGTCTAGTAGCGTGGAAGGTTTCAAGCAGGCTAAATATCTAGAGCGATGTTTCATCGACAACCTAGTATGACTAGCAGTCATGAGAACCCTGTCTCAATGACTATTCGCAAGGGACTAAGTCACGAGTCGAACTCAAACCCTATCTAGGATCGAGTCGCGAATAAGGCTAAGAGCCGTGTATTGCAGTTGTACTCCCAGTTGACACTGATTCACCGGACGCAGTTACATGGAAGTCCCTTACAAGGTTGCTCCGCAAGCAAGCAACTAAACGCTTCAGAACTATACAGAAACAGTTCCTAGAACAAGTCACGCCTGATGACTCATTTTTCTGTTACGCAGAAGAAATAGATCCATTGGAGGATGCTTGTTTTGAAACAACATTCCAACAAATCATATGTTCTAAGTACAATCACGTAGACACTGATAGTGTTGCTGCTCTGCAACGTCATTTGTCCCCATCACAAAGAGACGATCTTCGTCAAGTGCTTCAGAAGTACAAATAACTCTTTAGTGGCAAACTGGGCTACTATTCTGGACGAAAAATGCACTTAGAAGTGTTGCCCGGAGGTCATGACAAACTCAAGTTTCAAATGTCATATCCGTGGCGGCTGTCGCACATAAGCAAGTTTTCCAAAAGGAACTTGATCACTCACGGAGTTGGGAGTCCTCTCGAAAATTGATTGGGCCGAATTTGCGGCACCAACATTTGTCATACCAAAGAAAGATGGTCGTATTCACTGGATATCTGACTTTCACGCACTCAACCAAGTGGTCAAACTGAAGTGTCAGTTGCTTCCAAAAATAAATGAAATCCTGCGTAAACGCAGTGGCTACAAGTTCTTTACAAAACTTGACATTCAATGCAGTATTACACCTTTGAGCTCTCCAATGAAGCCAAAGATTTGTGTGTTATCAACACACCTGCTGGGTTGTATCGATACAACAGAGTTCCCATGGGAGTCAAGCAATCTCCTGGAGCGTCCCGCAATCGTTTATGTGGTAGCTAGGATTTAGCGGTTGGATTTAGAGTAGAGTTTTTCAAACTCTACTCTAAACTCTACTCTAAGTAGGGCAGAGTTTGAAACTCTACTCTAATAGTTAGAGTAGAGTTTGAAACTAGTATTTACTGTGCAGTCCCGCTTCATTTAAAGTAGAGTATTTCAAACTCTACTCTAATTTAGAGTAGATGAAACTCTACTCTAAATTCTGGATTCCCCCTAACAAACCATATGAGGCACGCTCCTGACTTTGCTCAGTCCATCATGGAGAGTATCCTTCAGGGAATGAAGGAAGTCGAAGTCTATATAGACGACATGGGCTGTTTCAGCAAAACATGGAAGAACCATCTCCAGACGCTAGACAATGTGCTCACACATTTGCCAGACAGGAATTTCACCATCAACCCATTGAAGTGTAAATGGGGTGTCCAAGAGACCGAATGGTTAGAATTCTGGCTGACGCCAATAGGGCTCAAGCCCTGGAAGAAAAAGATTGAAGCAATTCTAAAATTGCACGTCCAACCAACATATGTAAGCTACGTAGTTTTGTTGGTGCTGTGACGTTCTATCGCGAGATGTTTCCGCGACGTTCACACATCCTCCACCCACTGTATGAGTTGACTTCGAAGTCTCAAAAGTTCGAATGGAAACCTGCGCATCAAAAGGCTTTCGATCAAGCAAAGGCGGTCCTTTCTAAGGACGTGTTTGTGCGCTATCCCAACCACAACAAGCCTTATCACGTCTACACAGATGCAAGCGATTATCTCGGTGCTGTCATTGTTCAAGACAATCACCCTGTCACGTATTTCTTTAGGAAACTCAATGCGGCACAACGCAACTATACCACCATGGAAAAGGAGTTGCTTAGCATCACCTCGGTCCACAAGCAATGAGTACCGTTCCATGCTGTATGGAGTCCGTGAACTCCATATCCACACGGATCATAAGAATTTGATGTACGCTAATCTCAATTCTCAGAGAGTGCTTCGATGGCGCCTCTTTATTGAGGAATTCAATCCGATATTCCACTACATTAAGGGGGTAGGCTTCCCTTTCGAGGGGGGCAGAGTAGTGAGTCCGCTGTGACACACCCTACACAATCGTGTTCTTACAGCCAAAACGTTGATCTATTAAACATCTAATAAAGATGGCATGCCGACATCAGGGACGCCTGATGCATATTCCATACTGGAAGATCCAGACATGTTGGAATGTTTCCTTAACTTTTCAATCATCAACAATGACAATCCTTTCACCTTGGACTTCGATGTGATCAAAGAGCGAGCAACAAGACGACGAACGTCTGCGAAAGGAAATCAAAGCTGACCCCAAAAAGTATATCTCCCAAGTATTCGCTCCTGGTGGAGCAGAAGTGACATGCTGGCGAAGCACCAGACGCAAAAACCTTTCGCATATGTCTTCCTAACTCAAATGGTTGACACGTTGGTCCATTTTTACCACATGACACTTGTTCATCCAGGACCAAGACGACTATATGAAACCATTAGTCAAGTGTACAAGATCGAGCAGCCGTATTCATGGTGCCGTGACAGCATTGTGTCGCACATGCGATGCTTGTCAAAAGTGCAAGGTTCTTGGGGCAGAACACGGGTGCACGGGACCTCATGTTCCTCCAAGAGAAGCCTTTGCCATTCCTCTTTCCCTGGTATGAGGTCGCTGTAGACCTCATTGGTTTGTGGGAAGATCGTGACGAACACGGAAAGAAACATAGCTTCACAGCTCTATCTATTATAGATACGGTCACTAATTGGCCTGAACTAGTATTGCTGAACAATAAGACAGCAGCTCATGTCGCACAACAATTTGAGAATCAATGGATCCAAAGCCAATGCGATGCATCTATGATCAAGGCAAGGAGTTCACGGGTGGTGCTTTTCAAGACATGTTGCTCAAACATGAGATTGAAACACACCCTATCTCCGTGAGGAGTCCACAAGGAAACTCAATAGTAGAGAGACTTCATCAGTCTATAGCCAATTCACTACGAATCCTGACGTATGTTCATCCACCTGAAAACGATCAAGGGTCTAGGATATTGATAAGCACAACTTTGCAAACAGCAGCCTATGCTGCTCCTGCTATGATGCACAGCACCATGCAACTGTCACCAGGCGCGATGATTTACGGAAGAGACATGATGCTCAACATTCCCATAGAAGCAGACTTTCAGTTGCTTCGACAGCGTCGTGAAGCACGCATCAACTATAACTTGTTGCAAGAAAATAAGCGTCGTATCCATTGCGATTATCAGGTCAACGACCAAGTACTCAAGTTTGTTCCACAACCGAACAAGATTGAGAATAGGGCCGAAGGCCCATACACTATCACTAGGGTACACATTAATGGTTCTATCACCATTAGGCTTAGTCCACATGTGGAAGAACGGATCAATATCCGTCAGGTAAAACCACACCAACAATGAGGTTTTCCCTTCGCAGTTTCCTCATTCACATGGATTCGTCCACGACCATCACATATTAATGCAGCCTTGCAGTCTTCCTTTAGTTGCAGCAAGTCGGCATGCCATACCCGATGGCATGCTGGCTCTCTCAACTGTGATTAACCGTGAATAAGCGTGACTGCGCGTGCAGGACAGGAGTCTGCAGAGCTTACTAGAGAGCCTGTCTGACCCTGCCTAGCATGCTCTTTGTCCTCCCTCCACATTTTAGTTGAGATCAAGGTCTGTTGTAGTGTCAACAGACCGAAGGTACATGGCTGGCCAATGCTGGCCTGGCTCCTGCACAAGTAGGTCTTGCATGGGCAAGTAAAAACATAGACACAATTTTAGCTTTAGAGGAGGGCTACTGCACACATCACCCAATACCCAATACATCGCAACGTCGCCAACTTTTACGAAGGGGCGCAACGGGAAACTGGATCCACTTCTCCCATTCGCTGGTGGACTCGACTCAGCCTCGTTAGAGTACAGAGTACAGAGGTAAAAAAGATCATTGGTCATTGTCTTCGTCTTCGTGGGCGTGGTAGCACCAACCCGAGCTCAAAATAGCATAGGATATCATAGCATGGCATTGAGGCAAAGGGAGGTTCCGCCCTTTTGGGCATACAGTGTTACCCAGTCCTTGATTGTCACCGGGGCAAATTAAAACAACAAAATGATGCCTGACCATGGCTTTGAACATCCCCAGAGAAATCGCAAAGGCAATTCTTGATGGTCATAACTGTGCGCGAACTTAATACACTTCTTGTTGGTCCCAACCCAACTTCGCCTCTTCATCGAGGCGGTGCTCGTTCCCCGTTTCCAAAAGCGATCACTCCCTCATGCTTCAATGAACCCGGGAAAACTGACGCACCACCGCCACTTCGAAGGATCTCCATCAAGTAGTCAGAATCACATGGCTCCTGTATACCCAGGGTACGTCTCGCCTCAGCCATCAAGAAGACACTCCCACAAACGACAATCAGTTCGTCCCTTTGTGCGAACTTCATCGCATCAAGAAGCCCTGATTTGACAGTGGGATCTTGTAGATTGTACCGCAAGAGTCCAGTATCCAAAGCCGTATGTTCGCGCTTAGCTTGATCTTCAATGTCCTGGACAAGCTGTACCAAAGGCAGTGCTTTGTAATGGGAGGCTTGCACAAGATGAACCCTCGTCAGTAGTGAACTTTTGGCGGAGTCATTGTCATTGTTGTTGGGTCCTGCTGCTGCACCCGTCAAGGGAATCAAAGCATCCAAAACACCTTTCCAGTCCTTGTCTTTGGAAACGCCAAGAACAACCCTTATCTTCTTATCGGGGTTTGCTGTTTGAAGCTTGTAGACGAGCGCTTGCATAGCCGGTGGATTGTGTGCCACATCTAGAATAACCATTGTCTTGTGACCTTGGGTGTTTTGGACGGTTTCGAAGCGACACGGCGGCCGCACTGAGATTGCCTTCTGTAAAAGTTCCGGTGGTATATCGGATGGCAAGTCCAGTGCACTGTGTTGTTGTAATAAGAGGAGAGCGGCCTGCACAATGCGGGTATTGGTGGCGTTATAATCCATAGCGTCCTTTGATGCACTGTCTTGGCCATTGCTGATTGAATTGCCATTTGTGGTAGAGACATCCCTTGCGAGTACTTCCTCGGTAGTGTGGTAGTGCATTATTCCGTGTTCCTTGGCGTATTGTCGCAGGGTGTCATGAGGAACCTGGTATCCGACCAAAACCAAACTCTGTGGTTTCATAATTCCCGCCTTCTCCAGAGCAATTTGTTGTTTGGTCGTCCCCAAAACGTTGGTATGATCCAGTCCAATCGACGTAATAATCGCCAGCATGGGTGCTTCAATGACATTGGTTGCATCCCAACGACCTCCCAGTCCAGTTTCCAGTACGATAATGGTCTTTTTCATTTTCCCAGAAGACGGAGGGGAAGCGTTTGTTGTGTGACATTGATGAAAGTAGCGAAACGCCAAGAGTGTGACGAGTTCAAAAAAGGTTGCAGGAATGTCGTGTTCTTGGCATAAGCCAAACAATGTTGCCAAGCCCTCTGCTACTTCGTCTTCGCTAATCAATTGCCCGTTGGTCCACTGAATGCGCTCTCGGAAACAAGAGACGTGTGGGGAGCTGTAGAGACCAACATTGGAAAAACCCAATGCAGTGAAGGATGTGGCCAATTTCAGTCCGACGCTGCCTTTGCCGTTTGTTCCAGCAATGTGCATGATGGCGATATCTGGCTGCAACCATACGGTAAGGACAGAATGAGCTGAAATTATTTGCTTCTCAACCATGATTGATGGTCAAGGAAAGAAATCACTCACATCATTCATTGGACTTCCCAACAGACCATGCAACTTTTTCATTCGGATTTGACCGTTTCTGGGATTGCTTGGGTGAAACAAAGGTGTTCGATAGAGGCGACCGACCCATTTCTCGTACTCGGAGAGTGGCATTGACTCTTGCATTGTTGCTCTTTATCGGAGATAAACCATTGAATGCCTCGTTTGGCATCGAAGGTCCATGAAGGTCACACTTGTGTTTTACTTTACTACTAGCTAGCTAGTCTAGCTAGCTAGACTAGCCTCCATAATATATTGTGTTTTTTTAAACGTAACGTCATGACGCGTCAGTCCAGAAGGTCTCGAAAACTGTTTCTAGACTACTGTTGGTGTTGGCATTTTTTTTTTTTAATGTTTCGGCCCAATCGGAATCGATTGAAATGATTCGATTCTGATTCGATTCGATTCAATCCACCACAACCCAATGGTGGTGTTTGGCAAGCAAGGTGTTGATATTCGAGGACAGAATGCATGTCTATTCATAGGATCAATTCCATCTATCTTCTATCGTGTTGTTTGGCCTTTCAGAAGGTAGGGTGGTCTTGCTTCTTCATGGCCAGAACGCCAGAATGCCACTGGGAATGACCAACTCTCTTCTATTCTAGTCTTACAGTACGGTACGTTATTAGGGTGAAAGGGGGTAGCCCCACTTTGCACTGTGCATTAGCGTGAGTTAGACTTGCCCTAGTAGCCAGTAGCTAGCTATGTCATAGTCCAGAGAGAGGGGAAATCGTCTGCTACGTTGAGTGATGCAGTAGAAAAAGAAGATTAATTTTCTAAAGGCATAGTTGCAAGCAGTAAGGTTCTTGCAACCGAAAGCCGACAGAAGAAGTTGCGATCAAAGGGTGACAAGTCGCTTCCCGAACAAGGAGCCTTGACACCCTGATAAAAAGAAGTGTAATAGGTGATCAAAGCCGCTTCCCATACCGGTATGATAGCCTCCAGCTAGCTAGATACCGGTAGCCAGCTAGCTAGCTAGTAGTACCGTACTGTACCTGGTAGCCTGGGACAGACCGTTCTCTTTACACCCTGAGGCAGGCCCGTTGAACGAATCCCATCACCTAGACGAACAACCTACAATGAGAGTGTCAGTTAGTTCTACACTGTATTAAAATAGACTAGTGTAGGTCACCTTGTCACTTGACACCTGAATGCCTGAGTATCCATCTAACTAAAGACTAAAGTCTAGCTACCGGTAGTAGTGGAAGCGGCCTGAGCTATCATACATGTACATGTAGTACATGTAGTTTGCACAGGACTGTTCTCTTCAGCTTCTCTTCGAACTTCAAACCACTGAAGCAAGTCTTTGGAACCAAAAAAGTATCAGCTGCGAAACAACAGGCGGAGTGTGTGCATTACAGTAGTCAGGATGACCTTCTGAGCTACTTTCTGCCAAATTCCAGAGAGAAGTGCTCTTGACATTAAATCTTCTTTTCCATGTTTCTATTCTTTTCCCTCCACGAGAGTAGAAGTGTAGAAGTGCCACCGCACGAGAGAAGAAAAAGATATCACCTGCTTCCGAGATCTCGTTGCACCCACCTCTTCCACAACCACTTCTTCCTTTCCTCCAAGCGAATACACTTGGCATCTTCTGCACACCGAGCTTCTACATGTACAACAGTCATCCTTCCTGGCAGCAACCACCTCATCAGACTTGTCTTGAAGCTCAGGTGACACTGTGGGTTTCTCACAATATCACTCTTTGGTTTGCCCAACTTCCAAGCATTTTCACCCCAAGTGAGTAACTTCCAATCCATTTCCAATTTCCAATTTCCTATAAGCAAATCTTCTTTGCTGCCATGACGAATCTTGCCTCTCCAGAAGATGGTTTGGCGGACGTTGAAAACGCCAAGATGTCTATCCAAGATGACGGCTCTGATTCGTCCGACGGCGGCACCACGTTTTCCTCTGTCGGTATGGACCGGTCTAGCTCCAGTTCAGCGGGTGATAGCGATGCCCCTGAGAAACTGGTTCGTCGCGAGAATCAGTACATTCTGGCAACTCGAGTGATTGTGGTCTTGTTGCTGGTTGCAGCAGCCATTGGGACGACTGTGTTCATCTATCGCTACGCCAAGACAAACGAAGAGCAAGACTTTGAATCGGACTACCAAGCTGTGGCGACGACCATCCTTGACAGTTTCAACACCGATATCACTCTCAAGTTCTTTTGTGCCAAGACTCTCTCTGCCATTATGAGTGCCAAACATGAAGAAGAAGTCGCCAAGGATCTCGCGGTTGTTGCAGCTTTGGCAGAGCATGGTATTGAACACGAAGCAAAGGCTGCTCCTTGGAAGATCACCGTTCCCCACTCTCAGTTCCTCCAGGCTACCTCGGAAGCCAAATGGCTGATCAATGCTCACTATATCGGGTATTCTCCGTTGCTCTTCCAGGAGAGTCACCGCGAGGAATTCGAAACCTATGCAGCTGACTATCAAAAGCAGAATGGCCTCTTCTTTGAAACGGACCTGTCGGAAGACAATGACGACGTCAATCAAGATGCTATTGGTTGGAATGCATCCAAGGGACTCTTTGTGGTCGACCCAAGTTCGGGGGAAGTGAGTTCAGCTCCAACACTAGATTCCACTAACGAAACAGTCGTACCTCCTTTCTACAGTCCCTTGTGGCAAGCAGATGCTCGAAGTGCTCAAATCTCTCCCACCATGTACGACCAAGCATCTGATATGATCAGAGCCACTGCCTTGAGGCAAATGATTGACCGTCGAGAGCCTGTCCTTTCCGAAACTTTCTTGCGCAATACTACCTACTATGATACCTACTTTGGGGCCTCCGATCCTGTGCCAGGAGTTTACATGCACTTTCCTGTACACACGTTGGATGTCGAGACGGGACAAGGAACTGGGATCATTGGGTCTGTTGTCATGGAGTTTCTCTGGGAGTCCTTCCTCACGTCCATATATCCTCCCAACAGCGAGAACGTCCATATTGTCATTGAAAACACATGTGGCCAGACATACACATATGTCGTGAACGTTGAGAATCAGATTGGAGACTACAAGGAGCACAGGTGCGTACTGATTGATTTGAATACAAGACAAACATGTTGAGCAAGCTCTTACTTCTATTGCATACAGGATGGTTTTGGTAGGCGCAGGGGATCTTCACGAGACCAAGTTTGACGACTATGTACAGTCGACGGACTATGGTTACTTTGGGGATGTCGTTTGGTTCTCAAAGGTACGTTCGCCGTAACTGTCCATCTATTCATGAATACCGGTAGCCTGGAACGCAACACTCATTCCTCCCTCCCCCGCCCCCTATTCCAGGTCCCTTCATTGGACGAAGAGCACGAAAGCACCCTGGAATCCTGTTTGTACCGTTTCGTTGTCTATCCAACGCAAGCCATGGAGGATCAGTACATCTCGAATGATCCTGTGCTCTATGCTGTCGTCACCTTTGTCATCTTCTTCTTTGTCAGCGGTGTTCTCTTGCTATACGACCACATCGTGAGAAAGCGCCAGAAAAAGATCATGGAGGCAGCGGCTAGGACAAATCAGATTGTTTCCAGTCTATTCCCTAAGAGCATTCGAGAACGTCTATACAGGCAGCAGCTCGCATTCTCTCCATCGCATAAAGATGATAGCACCATCAGAAGCCATCGAAGCATGTCCGGAACGAGCAAGATGCAGCTGCAATCATTTGTGCAAGTTGAAACAGGCCCCTCGCCTTTGTTGTTGAGTTCAGAGCCAATTGCAGATCTATTCCCCAGCGCGACCGTTTGCATTATCAACATTGCCAACTTTTCGGCGTGGTAAGTAGTAGTGCCAGATCTGAGTCTGATTGCTCTCCATCGCTTAAGCAGCTTCCGTCTCTCACTCAAGCAAATTTCTCTTCTTTTGGCAACAGGAGCTCTGAGCGAGGACCCCAGCAAGTATTGACCCTTTTGGAACATCTCTTCTACGAGTTTGACAGCATTGGTAAAAGAATGGGGGTATTCAAGTTGGATTCACTTGGAGATCAATATTTAGCCGTAGCCGGATTGCCGCATTACCGCCACGATCACGCTGAACTGATTGTAAAGTACGCCTACAGATGCCTAAAGGCCATGACGATGATTACTAGAAAGCTAGAGGTGACTCTTGGACCCGACACTGGAGATTTGAGAGCAAGGGTGGGCATTCACAGGTAAGAGAAGGCGAGGTGGAACAGTGGACCATGTTTGAGATTGACTGCTCAAACGCTCGTAACTACTTTCAGTGGACCCGGTAAGTTACGAAGTAAACGACGAAACCCGCTCACGTGACAACACCTGTCTCATCATTTATCGTCCTTGTTAATGTCGCTATGATCCGCGTATACAGTCACAGCGGGCGTCCTTCGAGGAGAGAAGACCAGGTTCCAGGTGAGTGCTTTCTTTTTGCAAGTGACTGAAAACGTTGCCCAGTTCCGTTCATTCACCGTTTCTTCGTCGCACCACTCTCATGTAGCTCTTTGGAGATACGTACAATGTGGCTGAGCATGTGTGCACAGCTGGACAGCCCAAGCGCATTCAAGTTACTGAACAGACAGCTGACCTCCTCAAGGAAAGAGGAAAGGAGAACTGGCTGAGACCCAGATCGGAGAAAGTGGACCTGAAAGGTCGCGGTGTGGTGCAGCTCTATTGGGTCCACCCACATGCGAACGAAGCTGCAACCAGGTCTACGGGGTATGAATACCTGCCAGATGACGGTGATTCCATTCTCGATGATTCGACTTCGCAACTGCCAGGAACGCCTGATGAATTCAAGGGGACATCTCAACAGCTTGACAGGATGAATCGTTTGATTGACTGGAATGTCCAGTTTCTATACACCCTTCTGGAGAACGTAGTTACTGCACGAGGGAAGCGTTCAGCCGTTGGTGTGGCTGAGCTAGAAGAGTTTGAATCCAAGCTGGAGAAACAAAAAGCAGAGGGCACCCTTGTCCTTGACGAGTTTACAGAGATTCTCTCGATTCCGAAGTTCACCCCGGACGGGGTTGATGCCGAGCGGGGCATTTTGGACCCTTTGGTCAAGGAGGAGCTTCGAGACTTTGTCACGCGTGTCGCCAGTACGTACAGAGATGTACCGTTCCACAACTTCGAGGTAAGACTCGCGAGGAGGCAGAATCCAGAGAACGATTGATACCATGATGCTGCTCTGACCGTTCTCATCGGTGCTTTTGTCGTATAGCATGCTTCCCATGTGATGCTGAGCATAGGAAAGATGATGAAGCGCATTGTGGAACCTGAAGGTATCGAGTACGATGTCGAAGGAGTATCAGAGGAGACCAGGTCCATTGAGATTGCTCGACAAATCCACAATGTAAGTACAGGGAGCTCTTGCTATAGTTCTACCTGTTTCCCTTGAATGTATGTCGTCTCGAGGATCCTCACGCCATCTTCTATCTCGTCGCACGCAGAGCACGTATGGTATCAGCAACGACCATTTGCTGCAATTCACCTCTGTCTTCGCAGCGCTCATCCACGACGCGGACCACACCGGTTTGACAAACAAAGAGCTCGTTGACCTCAAGGTACCACTTGCCGAACAGTACCGAGAGACCTCCGTCGCCGAGCAGGTACGCGAGGAATCACCGCTTCAAGAAGCTCGCATGCATGCGATTACCCCCCATTGCATTTAGCTGTGACGAGACTGTGAAGCTGACTTCCTTCTGTTTCCGATTTGCCATGCAGAACTCTGTAGACATCACATGGAGAATGCTTCTAGAGCCCGGATACACGCACTTGCGCCGCTGCATCTATTCCAACGCGGAGGAAATGAAGCGCTTTAGGGAACTTCTGGTCAACGCCGTGATGGCCACGGGTAAGGAATCACCATTTGGTCGAGCATCGCTCAGATCTTACAATCTCCTGCAGTACCATCCAGTTGGAGCCTCACTCTCACTTTCCTTTCATTCACACTTGAATAGACATCGCCGATAAGCGCTTGAATGCTGTGAGGAAGAGTCGTTGGAATGATGCTTTTGCCGAGGCGGCCCCATCATCATCATCATCGGACCACAAAATGTTCCACGATGATGCCAATCTCAACGAGAACCGAAAAGCAACCATTGTGTACGAGCATCTAATTCAAGCTTCGGACGTGTCTCACACGGTGAGTCGAGTCTGATAGACAGCATTACCGGAAGCACCCTGCTACGAAACTGTTGGGACTCACTTGACTTCTACTTTGGGATTGTCGCTTTCAGATGCAACACTGGAATACCTTCCGCAAATTCAACGCTCGACTCTTTGAAGAACGCTACGTTGCTTGGCTCAAAGGTGTTGCCGAGGAGCCATCCGTGGGCTGGTACAAGGGCGAGCTTGGCTTTTATGATTTCTACTTGGTTCCCTTGGCCAAGAAGCTCCATCAGTGTGGCGTATTTGGTGTTTCCTACCACGAATATCTGCACCACGCTCAAGAGAATCGCCGGGAATGGGAAACGAAAGGAGAGGGAATCACAGCGGAAATGCTGGCCCACTGCCAATCAAAGTATCCCCACGGCTTAGCTTCTGTTCCTGGTCAAACTACGGTGGAGGAGGGCTTTGTGGACGAGGAGGTGGATTGCTAAAGAGGCACGGGTACGGTATGGTGGAAATGCTGAGGACCCATGAAAGAAAACTCTAGTCAGCCAGTCCATACCAGCAATCTACAGCTGTCAGCCCCTACCACGAGATTAGGGACCTGTAACCCTTCGGGAGAAGCTGGAATGTCAGAGGCGCAACGCAAAATCTTCTTCCATTTATTCACATCTCCAGCTCCCTGAACAAGAAGTTCCTGCACTATATAATTGCTTTTGACATATCATTCATACGAACTAGCTAGACTAGACTAGCTAGCTATGAATAGTACTACCTGGTACTAACTACTACATGTCGGTACCGAGTACAGTAGTAGTACCGGTACAACATTGCTGCTCTCGACTCAATGTTCTCATCAAATCGATTTGAAGATGAACAGTGGGCTTGCTTGATAGTTTGGTGGGAGATTTGAGTTTGGGTGGCTCGCCGTGGTCTCAAGCCTGCCAGAGTCGAACGAGTCAAATGGCGCGGAGAGTTGGCCAGGCCCAAAACAAGTTCGCCTTTTAAAAATAGCGTCCGTACTCAGTCATAGCGGTTGAACTGAACCATGCTGAAACAGCTGAAGTGCTCTTAGAAAACCGAATTTTAAAGTCGAAGTGCGGACACCAGTGGCAGCCTTCATTCCAGCGGTTGTCACAAAAAGCAGCACATAAAATCGAGCAGTTCGTCGTTTGCATCCCTCTTCCACACCGTATTTTACTTCATCAACCGCAACCATGGCCAAGACACCATCCAAGCAATCCGCCAAGACCCCCAAGAAGGCTGCTGGTGGCTCCAAGAAGTCCAAGAAGCGTACCGAGACCTATTCCTCCTACATCTACAAGGTGTTAAAGCAAGTACATCCCGATACTGGTATCTCCAAGAAGGGCATGTCCATCATGAACTCTTTCATCAATGATATTTTCGAACGCATCGCCACGGAAGCTGGAAAGCTTGCCACCTACAACAAGAAGGCCACCTTGAGTAGCCGTGAAATCCAGACCGCCGTTCGTTTGATGCTCGTGAGTAGGATGCGATGACAACAATGATCTTTTGCCGTTTGCCTGATCGAGTCTCACATTCTGCCTTTGTTTTTGTTTTTGTTTTTTCGTATAAAGCCTGGAGAGTTGTACGTCCAAGATGCACCATGGCGTCGTTTGGCTGAAATTGAACGACCTCGACTAACGTTTCTTTTTCTCTTCCCCAGGGCTAAGCATGCTGTCAGTGAGGGCACGAAGGCTGTTACCAAGTTTTCCAGTGCGTAGACGACACGACAACACTTCGCGTTCTTGGAGGACCGCTCTATCTACTTTTTCTACGAATGGGGGTGACTCACTGGCACCGCAGTGCAGCAATTGTGATGGTTGGTTGGGCAGGAGGGTATTTCTCTCGAATCAAATTGTGTGTCAGGTCGCTTTGTTCATTGAATGCAAACGGGCATTTCAATGGCGTGACCAGCAAGCACAGAAACAAAACCATCCCACTACTGTAATATCAAATACTTCTTTCTTCCACTTCCAATTCGTCGATTTGTCTGTACTACGTGTAGAACAATTAGCTGTAGCAAATGGTTGATTGGGTTGGGCATTGTTGATCACAACGCAGCCAGCATTTGTAGATGGGTTGGTTGTGCTGTGACGATCTGGTTCATAACAAATTTCTCGACAACCGAGTGATAGCAACGCTTTTTGGTCGCCGGCAACAGCTGGCATATGGAATTGGCCTTCAAGTCTAGACTATTATTAATAGCTACTGGTAGCTACCGCTACATTTAGTACTAGTAGCCAAGTGTGTCTCATGGCTTCAGGAATTGACTGTCCTTTCAGAGCTGCCAGGATGGAATCGAATCATGCATACTAGTACATCACACATACATCTTCTTCTGACGATGAAAGAGACATGTATGTGTCGGTTCAAGCAGTCTCTATGCAGTAGGATTGTTTTTCAGCACCAACGGAAACACATATTGATACCACTAGATTTCTAAATATATCTTTTACTTTACTACATGTAGCACTTCGCATGCCGACCTCACTGAATTGGTACAGTTACGTGCTTGTTGTGTTGTGTGCTGCTTCTTTATTATTAGCCAAACCACATCACCAAGAATACAATCAAGTAGGTGATGGGATATGCGTACCGAGAAAAGACATCGACGTGTTCGTCACTAAAGTACATTTCGGTATCGTCCTTCATCATCAACAGATCCATTTTATTATGGAAACCGTTTTCAATCATGTCAGCCTTGGATACATGCATGACGCCTGGTTGAGGACTGCCCATTTCCTCGTCTTCATCATAGGAATTATTGTGTTTCTTCTTCTTCTTGCTGCGCTTTTTATCTGCCTTGACTCTTGCTTTGACGAGCTCTTCTGTCTTTTTCCGTGCACCATCGATACGGGCTTGAATGCGCCGCAACCAGTTGCAAACGACGTATTCGACAATGGCATAGAAGGAAAACCAGGCCGATATGGAGAGAAATGTTAGCAACCAGACATCGTTTCCCAGCCGGGGCAGCTGTCCCAGCTGAGCGGCTAAAAAATTGGTGTTGGCCAAGAAACCAATCATGGACATGGCAACACGTGCGGGAGCCGCCGATCGATTGAGGAAGAAACTGATCCAACCAATGACCACAAACATGACAGCTGGAGTAATCACAAAGTCCGAATAGTATTCGGAGTTTCTCGCAAAGTCAAACTGGACTTCTACAGTAGATTCCGCCTGGGTGGCTCCTCCGACACCCGAAATATCCACGCCTCTGGCGCCTTGGATTCTCCATTCTGTGGTGCCTCCGTGTGGCAGCGAGCCTTCTTGCTGATTGTCTTGGGCCAATGTGACCGGCTCCAAATTATCAAAGAAATCCAGAGTGACTCCCTTGGCATCCTCCAGAAACGTTCCAACTCGAAAGCCACAGGTTTGTACGTCTCGAGGAAAGTCATCAAACTGCATTTGGCATGCCAACACCATATCCAACTGACTGACATGGATGACTCTTCCCGAGGGATATACCCACACAGAACCGGCGATGCGGCTGTAGGGTTTGGCCAGATTCTCAATGTAAAAGTCAGGCTGCCAGATATTTTTGAGTACATCTTCGGGAAATCCAACTCTGCCGTCATCTGGAAAGCAACCACCTTGTGACTGGGGAGTGTACCGCAATCTAAAATCCTGCCAGCTTCGTCGAAACCAAACACTTAGCTCGTATTCGTTTCGTTTTTGGTCGACGGCATTCAATGACAGAACATGCAATTGAATGCGAGCTACATCGGGTGGAGCGTCAATGGGATTCGTCCCATTCGAGAACGCCAAGGCTTCACCTGGACGAGTGAAGGAGTCGTAGTCGTCCAGCAAGGCGGCTCGGAGTGCGCCTGGAGTGCGAGGGCCATTGCAGTTCGTGATGTTCTGGGCGGCACCGAACCAAGGCTGTAGCAATGACAACGACACAACCAATGCAAAAGATATCCCCCGTAGTCCACTCTGAATGGTATGCCGATACATCAGAGGCTCTACCTCTCAACACAATCACAACGGAAGATAGATACTCGGAAGAAGAGGTGGTATGTTTATGGGTTTGTTGGCAGCACTGAGCTGATCGGCACAGGATCTTTGCCTTTGAACGCACGAAAGATCGCTAAAAGACATCGAAAAGGCTTTTCATGTCATGCTGAACAGCGCACCTCGAAATCTTGGTGTAAAACGGGTTACATTGCTAGATCTAATTGCTCCCCACGGAACTGCGCTGTTGTGAGCCCCCTCTTCCGAGCCAGTGAGAGAGATCAATCACTGACATCTGGCTAGCTACTAAAGAAAGTTTTTGCCTTGACCCTTTTTATTGATATCTACCTGTTGGATACCATGGAGTACGTAATGTTTGTCAGTTGAACCGCTTAACCACCCCACTTTCTTCACCCCAAGGAGGTGTGGGGGATCCTTGAAATTTGGACACTCTTGGAAAGGGATACAGCAAACAAATGATAGCCTGCTAACGTGGTGTGAACTATCATGCTACAGTGTAGTACGGTACCCAAATATGTCAACATCCAATCTAATCTATCAATACTCTATCAATCAACTACCGGCACCGTACCGGAATGTAAAGTAAGCTTGAAAGAGAGGCTGATTGAATGATTAATCGACAGGAGTCCAAAACATGACGTAATCACAACTTCACTGGCTCTGTTTTGTTTTTTAAACTGAGCGGTGCTTGCGTTGGCGCTTGTGCTTGGCTGGCGGCACCCGATGCAGCCGCCATTCTCCTTCCTCTTTTCTTTTGCTGCTGCTGCTCTCATCTCACAATCCCAGCCTCGAGAAACTTGGAAAGCACTTTCCAAACTCCTCCGTTCTACACTTACTTTGATACTTTAGCAACCAACAAGATGTCCGGCCGTGGAAAAGGAGGAAAGGGACTTGGCAAAGGTGGTGCCAAGCGTCATCGTAAGGTACGAACGACCATGGCAATTCGTGCGGTACATGTAGCTCGAGAAAGAATTTCCTCACACTTTGCTGAATTCGTATTATGTAGGTGTTGCGAGATAATATCCAAGGTATTACCAAGCCTGCTATCCGTCGTCTTGCTCGTCGTGGTGGAGTGAAGCGTATTTCCGGACTGATCTATGAGGAAACCCGAGGAGTGTTGAAGGTCTTTCTCGAAAATGTCATTCGTGATTCTGTGTAAGTGAAGCAGCCTAGTGCTGCGGATTCATTGCAATGCTATCATTATCCACGCTATCATCGACGATGATTCGATTCTGACATCTCATTTCTCTCTACATGTAGTACCTACACGGAACACGCTCGGCGCAAGACTGTGACGGCCATGGATGTCGTCTACGCGCTCAAGCGCCAGGGAAAGACCCTTTACGGATTTGGTGGTTAGATACCTCCCTTCATTGACGATGTCGTGGGCTGCGGATTATTTTTACTATTCAGACTTCCAGCTTCGGACGATGATTCCAACCCAACAAGACCACTGAAAATGGACACGACAATCTCCAATGAAAGACAAAAAGCAAAGAATGAACGAATTGTGGCGATGGGGCCACTGATGAATGAAGGAATGAATTTGGCTAGACTGTAATGCTTCTCTATTTAGCTCGTCTAGTCACTATTATGCATTTATGTAAACTTTTGCTGCCTCTTCAAATCTTCCGTACCGTAGCTAACTACCCAGCTAGTAGAAATCATCGTCGTTATTGCGGTAGAAGTCGTCATCTACAATCCGTCCTCGCAACATGCTGGTTTTGGTGGATGTGGTCTCGTCACTGTTCTTTCCGGACTGGACCGCAAAAAAGATGAGTAAGATGATCCCGCTCAAACAGCCACCACAGAAAATTCCGGCAATGATGAATAATTGTGGTTGTGATAACTTGGATAGCGCGCCATCCTTCTTGTTGTTTGTACGATTTCCGGCAGTGGATGGATTGACGGCATTGTCGACATTCATGATTGGAGTAAAACTGTCGCCTGCACTAGCCATGGGGACGAGTGGAGGAGTTGGTGGATTAGTAGTATTCCGCATGTCTTCTTGGTTTGTCCACATGATGCCATCTCCACTTTGAATGCTCCGTTCCTCCTCTTCGCTAATGGGAGCCGGCATCCAATCACGCATACTACTGTTATTGTTGGCATTGGCATTGCTCTTGGAAAAGGAACCCCGTTTCTTCTTCTTCTTCGAGCTGCTACTCGAATTGCGAGAAGACGTGGATTGTCGGGTATCCGCAGAGAATTGACTATCCTCGTCGTCGTCGTCCTCGTATATCACTCTTGCTTGTCGAGGTTGATGGATTTTCGTTCTCGACGGTGGCTGAATTGCCCCACTTTCGGCCGAGAAATCGTCTTCATCACTAAAGTATTCCAGAACACGGTCCTCGCTTGATTGTGTCGGCTTTTGATTGTTGCTGCTATTATTATTATTGGCCCGAGCCGAATTAGCTGTCATTTCCGAACCCATGGATATGTTGTCGTCTTCGGTTGTGTCTAGGAGGTTGACACTTGTGGGAATGCTGGTGTTACTGGCAGCAGATGGTCGCTGTCTGGTTCTCGTGGTACTGTTTCTGGATCTCTGACTTGTTTGGCTTGGTCGTCGAGACTGTCTCGTAATGTGCTGGCTAGCTTCTCTGTCTTGAGTATCTGTCGTATTCGTTGCTTGCTGTGATACGGTGGAAGATTCCTCCGAATGATTCGTTGGAGCTCGAGCTGGCATGGAACGGGAAGACGATTCGAAGGACTCCTCATCGTTGGATTGTTGTTTTCTTCTAACAGATGCCGAATCTTTTTGAGAGTCAGACGAGGTGTCTGCTCTGGAAGAGGCACCGCTGTTGCTAGTATTGGAAGATCGACGTTTGGTGTTTTTCTTGGTTGTGGAAGATCTTCGACGGCCACTAGTTCCGGAAGCGTAGCTGCTGTTGCTCATGGCGAGGTCTTCTTCTTTTGATTCCTCTACTACTAGATTGGTCTCCGTTGCTTCTGGTGGATCTGGTGGAGTCGCTTTGAGTTCTGCTGGTTCAGGCCATCGCTCACTGACATTCATGCTATCTTCCCATCGCTCACTCTGACTCATGTCCATGGCGTTGCCATTGCCATGTTGCTGTTGTTGCTTGGGTGATTTGATTCTCGTTTTCACATCTCCCTTGACCACTTCCAATTTTTCTCGTGACTTGAACGAAAAGACCAAGTCGTCGTGACCATCTTCGAGCAGTGTCACCTTCAATCGATCACTGGCGCTTCCCGCCTTGTTGGCAGTGGCCTTGTGCAAAGAAGTCCAAGGCCATTCCTCTGTGGTCAGGCCATCGTCTCCAGCAAAACTCAACACTGTGGGGGTCAAAATCAAGCTACCAACCGATTTGCGGTACTTGACGGGGCGGTGCAAGGCAGTGGATGACATTGTTTCTCGTCCCTTTCCTCTCCTGGAACGACAACAATATCCATATCATCTTTTCCTCGTTGTCTCCTCGATCTGTTCCAGCGTTGTTGTTCTGATTATTCGAATGAGTCGATTTGGTTTAAATTCTATTCGATTCAACCAACCGATTCGAACTTAAGAAGTACAGCTCTATTGGCTTGATGATTTACACTGGATCACCAGAAGACCCACTGGAGAGTGCGGAAATGGGACTTAAATCTTTAAAAAACCACCGTTTAAAGAAGCTGCGTGAAACTAGTACTAGTTTCACGCACTGTTTCACGCACGTGAAACTATTACTAGTTTGAATGCGTGAAACTATGTTCAGTCGTGTGTGAAACTAATTTCAGTCGTGCGTGAAACTATCTCTATCGCTCTATCGGTAGTAGTCACTAGTAAATCTTGCTTGAAACTAGCTGTTGTTCTGCGTGAAACTAGGCGTTGTTCTGCGTGAAACTATTACTAGTTTCACGCAGGCCTGCGTGAAACCTCAGTTGTATGCTCCTTCGAGGAATTCCCCGACTCCGGGAATTCCTCCACTATATCTCAAATGTTAGAAGGAAGCATTAAAGGGAAAGGGAATGGGGGAAAGGAATTACGTACGTAGACCTGTGTAGACTAGTACTGATTCATGACTCGCAGTCACGTTCAGGACTAGTCAGTCAAATTCCTGCTCCTTCAAGGAATTGGGGAATTCCTCCATTCCCCTCAGAATTCCCCGGCTCAAAAAGGGCAAGGAATAAGGAGTACTGTATACAACTAAGCGTGAAACTAGCTTGAAACGGTTAGTTTCACTCAGGCTTGCATGAAACTAACTCCTAGCTAGCTAGATCTAGTTTCACCCAAGCCGTAGTTTCACGCAGGACGGTTAAATCTTGTTTCAGCACCCTGCTGGTTCGAGGTTTCCATTTCCGCCTCCAACAACCCCAAGGAAGCAATACAGCTGGCCAGCATGTGTACTGTATCCAACATCCATGAAGAACAGACAGCCGAAGGCTGATGCCCTCAACTGTCAAAAAAGAGATTTGATTCTTTGGCCAAATCCAACACTGTGTTCAACTGAACACACAGTCTACTGTAGTCTATCGATAGCCAACCAAAACACACACATTGGTACTCGGAGTATGTTTTACCAGCTAACAATTAATATTTACCTCATCCTTTATGACGGACGTACAGACTAACTTGCACACATACTCTGGTACTCGGAGTATGTTTTACCTGCTAACAATTATTATTTACCCCATCCTTTATGGCGGACGTACATACTAACTTGCACACACACATAGTTTGGTACTCGGAGTATAGAACAAGCAGCCGGAGGCTGATGCCCTCAACTGTCAAAAAGAGATTTGATTGGATTCCCCAATCGAATCCTTTTATCTTTGGTCAAATCCTTTACTGTGTTTGTTGGTTGCTAGTAACACTCTAGCTTAGTAAAGGTAAAATACTGTTTTACTGTTAAGCTATTTCCAAGAAGTGATCTTTCTCCATGTATTTCTGGGATTGATTCAACTTCAAAGGATATACCATGTACAACAAGTCACAGCCATTCAATTCCAAAGAAGAGGAGGCCGTGATGAAGGAAGAGCTTCCCCAGCTGGGAAGAAGAGGATTCCATTCCTCTGGAAAAACAAACAGCAGACATCCAACACTTCTTGGACATCCAACACAACAGAAGAGACACTCACGTTCCATTCCAATGGACAACAAGCTGACTCCAGATAGCTACAAGCTATTGCACAGACTCTGCTCACCTGATTTCCAAATCCAGAATCAAGCCTGAATGGATTGATGTTTCAACACATCATTGGCGATTGAGACCATGGCATATCGATGTCCAGTTCAGTCTACACCGCCAGTCAAGAGCACAGTTTGAGTCTACGAGAATGCAGCCGGAACTTCCTAGTTTCCAGCTACAGCAATACCAAGTGACCGGAACTTCCCAGTCACGGTTCAACAAGTGATCGGAACTTCCCGTCGTTAGTACGGAATAGTCGATAAGCAAAATCAAGTGACGGCACAACCGCCACAGCAAGTCATACAGGAGTGGCAACACTACAGGAGTGGTAGCCACAGTGGCTTTTCATGACGACACGTCCACATGTCCACATTGACGTGACAGATTTGTCAGCACTGCTATGGATGACAAGCTTCTGCCACCAGCGAATGCCGAGCAACCTAGCAATTGGTCTCTCTGCACCAACAGCTTTCCTTATGGAGCAACCATCATTACATTAATTATTCGTTCCACGGTATCCTTTATGGAACCGTGCAGGAGTGTGTTGGAGTTGTATTACAGACACCTCAATACAAATTAGTCGTTTATCCCAATCTAGTTGATAGGGGATATCTATATCTTATTCTCTAGTTACATACATGGGGAGTTTAACTGATCTATATGGTCACCCCCTTCACTATAATCCTGTTG